AAAAAAGAAAGAAAGAAAGAAAAAAGAAACAAAGCAGGGCATCAAGGCTGAAAAAAAAAGAGAGTTCACTCCATTGGTGTGTTCCCTTATTGGTGTGTTCCCTTAGATGAGGTCAGGTGACTTTTGACAGCACTTGAAGTCCAGGGTCTGCCTGGCAAGTTTCATTAGTGATGACAGCCTGCCCCTTGGGTTCCCTTCAATGGTTTGAATCAGAACCTGGCCACCCTTAAGTGCATGAGTTAAAAATAACACAGTGGGGAAGGGCTGGAAGGATGGCTCAGTGGTTGAGAGCACTTGCTGCTCTTGCAGAGGACCTGGATTCTGTTCTCAGCACCACCTGACAGCTCTCAGCTGTAACTACAATTCCATCTGATGCCCTCTTCTGGTCTCCATGTATACTGTTCAGGCATAGCGCCCATACATACAGGCAAACATTCATACATATAAAATAAAAATAAATACATCTTTTAAAAATAAAATATTTTAAAAAACAATGGGAAAGCTGGGCATGGTGGCACACATCTTTAATCCTAGCGCCCAGGAGGCAGAGGCAGGTGAATCTCTGTGAGTTTGAGGCCAGCCTGGTCTACATAAAGAGTTCCAAAACATCCCGAGCTATGTAGAAAGACCCTGTCACAAACAAAGACACAAAAATGGAGAAAAAAGCACCAAGGCAATCACAAGTTTTGAGTCTGTGTTAAATCTCACTTTAAGCCGGGAGGCAGAGCCAGGTGGATCTTTGTGAGTTTGAGGCCAGCCTGGTCTAGAGTGAGATCCAGGAAAAGCGCAAAGCTACACAGAGAAACCCTGTCTCGAAAAACAAAACAAACAAACAAAAAATCTCACTTTAAAACATAACTAGATAATAAAGACCCAAACCCCGTGGCTAAAGTTTACAACAAAACTGGTAATAGTGAATATATACCACGATGCCCCAAATACAAGAATAAGCTGCCGACATCGAAAGACCTGCATAGAGTTGGTGTCTCTGCAGGAATAGCGAGGAAGTGGGGACCCTGGAGTAGTTACCCACTGGTAACTGGTCAGGTCTGTTCAAAACATCGGGTGGAGGGAGGGGCCCTGTAGAGGTTCAGGAGAAGCAGGCAGGCAGTGCTGTAGGTAAACAACATGAAAATGGCATGTGGTACACACAGAATCATAGCTCTCCATGGAAGGAGCAAAGACAGAGCTCTCCATCCCTCTTCTGACCAGGGCCATGTGTTTATTAATGAAGGGGTCCTACAGGAACGCCTCACTTGCTCTCTTAAGGGGTAAGGTCTCACAGGAGTGGTGGACTTCATCTAGCTTCCTTGTCTCCCAAATTCTGAAATTCTTGGGCAAAGTTGCCCTCTCTCTCAGCCTCTATTTTGGTGCCCTCTAAAATGGTAACAGCAGTAGTAATCTACGTTAGAGAGATGATTTGAGAATGAAACGAAGCAGTACCGAAAGGCGTTTACCATCGTATTGTCTGATGTTGCCTATGATTCTTCTCATAGCTTCCTTCATTGAATTACTCAGTCGCGCAAACGCCAGAGGGCGACATAGACGGAGGGAACGCCAGCCACAGACCATTGCCTCAGCGCCATGAACCGCCACGCAGTGGCGCTAAGGCACAGGCTGTCAGGTTTTCCGCAGAGTTCGGGGATCTGAGAATTAACTGAAGGAGGGACAAGGGAACCCTGGGAACAGAGGAGCCCTGAACCATAGGGTCAGAGATGCTTAGACCCAACGGCCCCTGGGCCCCTGGGACACAGTAAGATCAGTGGGGGATGAGCGGGCCCTGGCACTCTTTCCTTCTGGCGGCATCTGCAGCCCTGTTCCCTGATACGCGGAGGGAGCGCGCGTCTCTGTGGGCTCCTCGACTTGCTGAAGCTCATTCATCTGCTGCCGCGGCACTCCGTTGCCATGGCAACGTGATGCAGACGGAGGGGGGTGGCCGGGAGGAGGGAGGCCCTGCGTGACGTCTGCACTCCTCGCAGCTCATCTCTCGCGGCCTCCCAGTTCTTGCCTATTTTGGAAGAGAGCCGCAGCCCTTCTGCTGATGCGCGCGCGCTGGCGCCTTTTTAAGGCAACTGGCAGAGTGGCGGCTTCGCCAGAGCTCAGGAGCTGCCCCCGCCCCTGAGCGGCGGAGTCCTGGCCGGCCTCGGAAGCCCCCCGGAGCCATCGCCCCACCCCATCCCCATCCCAATGCCCTCCACCTTTGTGGGGGACATTTTAACCTTGGAGAGAGGAGGTCTTACCCTTAACCCCTCGCCCCCCGCCCCCAAGAGGGGAGACTGTCTTATAGAAACCTTGGAAGGAAACAAGATGCCAGGCCTATCCGTGCTTGGAGATCCTACGGACAAGGCCTCAAGAGGGACAACGCCAGGTGAGGACCTCACGGCCCTCGGGCCTCCTTTCAGCCCCTGACTAAGCCTTTTATTCCTGGGGCTCAGTCTGAAGTAGATTGGGATCCCAGGAAAACTCAGCCCTCTCATTAAACTGAAAGGGAAACTGAGGCACAGAGAAGAGTAGTGATTGGCTAGAGGCACATGGCTAGTTCCTGGAGGAACATAGGCCCGAGACCAGGGAGCCTGGCTTCCTGGCCCCGGGAGATCCTCCTGCTCCTTAACGCTGAAGACTACCGATACATTGTGTTTCTCTTTCTCCCTTGCTCTGCACCCAGCCAAGGGCCAGGCAGCTCCGCCTCCGAACCAGCTGTCTCTTCTTCCCCAGCAACATCCAGATCTTAGGTGGGTTTTCTGGACCAATGGCCTTTCTGGACAAACTTCTGGATCCCATGGACTCCATGACCAGGTTGCTACTTATAAATGTCTGCTTCCATTGAAAGCTTCTTGCAGCCCACCAGCTCTCTGGAACATTCTGGAGTCAAACCTCTCCTAGACTGCCTGCAAGTGCCACTTGGCCTCTGGATGGAAATGTGGCCTGCTGGACACTTGCAGGACTCCCCAGAGCCATGTGGACCCAGCCCCTTGGACCCTCTGCCCAGTCCTGATGACGCCTGACAGAGGACAGCACAATGTACTTGGCCATTCTTGAGGAGATGTACAATTTCCAGACAGGTCTCCATTCTGTCTGGACCAGGGTTGGTGAGCCAGAATGGATCTGATCTAGATCAGCAGTTGTGGTTTTGTGTATAGCAACTATCCCTGGAGCCTTGAATGGTGCTTCCAAGGGGCACCCATTGCCAGGGCCAAACCTTCAGTGCACAAAGGGGGAAACTGAGGCAGTCTTCAGAAAGACGTCATTTGCCAAGGTCACAAGGCAAGGCAGTATATTTGTTGCTGAGATTAGGACCCAGAACACTGCCTCCTGACCCCAAAGGCCAGCCTTTGAATGACACACAAGGTCACTGCACTGTGGGAGCCAAAGACATGTTTCAAGATCTACCATCTCCAACTGTGGCCGTGGCCCTTGGAGTCACTTCATCCTGCAGTAGCCTTCAGCCACCCAAGAGAGATGACCTCCAAGGAGTTCCCTCTTCAACTGGGCCTCCGAGACTCTCTGAAAGTGGGTGTTTGGGCTAGACTGTGGGGTCCATCCATGGCTGTCTGAGGGACCATGCTGAGAGGATTTTCTTCCTTCCACAAGACTGGAGTTAAGGAAGCTGCAGACAGTAGTTACTTCAGGCGCAGGCTGTGCAGACCACTCTCAGGATAAGCAGGGGTCTGTTCTGTGCATGTTGGATCCCATCCGACTACTCCAATGGTGAGTCCCCTGATGAAGCAGGTCCGGGCCTGGAAGGATGGCCCTGGCTGGGTTGGATCTACGGAGGAGAAAGCCAGTGAAGCACTTGCTTTCCACTGAGCCTTAGGAAGTATTTATTTCCCCAAGTCCATACAGGCTTGGTGTTCAGGGATCCCAGAGCTGAGAAACATGGTCCCCTGGAGACTTCAGGCTCTCTCAGACCCTAGCATTGGGCACATGGGCTATTCCCCCCTGAAACTGGGTTTCAGCTTTGCAGTGTTCAGATTCCAGAGCCTGAGAGGTGCTGGGCCAGGTGGGACCTGGATACAGAGACACTCAGGAAGCCGATAGGGGAGGATGAGCCTTTAAGGCCAAGTGTTCTGCTGTCTTTCACTTTGCAAATAGGGAAAGGGAGGCCCAAGGAGGAGAAGGGACTTGCACGGTACCCCCAGTGGCAGTTAGAGTTAGAATCCATGTCTCCTGATCCTCCTGCCTGGGACTCTTCCTCTGCCTTAAACACAGTCTGCTGGCACCGAGGCTAAGCTCACTTCCTCTTCATCTCAAGATCTCTGAATCCTTGGCAGTGGAATCCTCAGCCAGGGCTGGGCCATTCAGGAGCTTTCCCCTTCACCAGATGGTCCTTTCCTCCGCAGCTTCCTGGTGTCCCCTTCTCGCCCACACAGTGCTCATTCTTTCCTAGTTCCAGAAGCTTCTCCAGCAACAGGCCAGAACAGCTGCTTCTCTGCTTCTTGCTATGGTTCAGCCAACTGTGGTTGCAACATTTGCAGGAGTGGATATGTCTCCAGCTCTCTGCTCTTGGGGTCTCGTCTTGGTTGCCTCTAGGGTTTTCTTTCTGCCTCTGGCCCAGGCCTGTTCATCATTGCTGAGTTTTAAATCCCTCTGTCTTTCCTGGCCTCTCTTGGGCTGCTCTCTGAAAATGCCTCCTCTGTGTGCCCAGGGCCATTGGGAGTAATCAGCCCACACATCACATCTGCTCTTGGGGTTCTAATGAGCCGATCCCCACACCAGACACATAAGGCATGAGTATTGGCTGCACCTGTAAACTCCATGTCCCTGGGGACACTTAGGTGATATTAGAGACAAGCATAAATCTGGGTCTGCAGTAGCCTGCACACCTGGGTAGAAGGGAGAGCAAGGAAAGGGCAGTCACAGGGAGCTTTGGGGTGTGGGAAACAGGGATTTAAGATGGGTAAGAACATGGTCAGGTTGGCCTCTAGAAAGACGGCCAAGGATTGCAATTGTTGACTCCTGAAGAGAATACATTGGTACTGGCCTGGATGCTCCTTTCTGCCCTTGAGGGATGTGAGGATGCCCATTGATACACAGGAAGGGGTCTGAATCCAAATTCTCAGGGTCACTTGGTGTGTATCCCTCAGTTTCCCCAGGACTCCACTGATATCTGTATCCCTCTCTTTGGAGATGTTTCAGCCTGGACTGTGGCTGCCTCCATCTAGTACTCATAGACCAAGGATGCAGGAAACACACAGGGCCATGAACCCAACCAAGCTGCTTCTCTGTGGTCTTATTCAAAATTATATTTTCCTTAAGATAATGGCCACTCCCATTCCATATCCAGCACTTACTCTGTTCCTTCCATGCCTATGGCCTTGTTCTGAGTGCTTACAGGTCAGTTCACCTAGCTCTTTTTTGTTTATTTGTTTTTGTTTTGTTTTGTTTTGAGACAGTTTCTCTGTGTAGCTTTGACTGTCCTGGAACTCACTCACTCTGCAGACCAGGCTGACCTCGAACTCAGAGATCTGCCTGTCTCTGTCTCACCTAAGTCTTGCATTAAGGCCTTAACACAAGTTTTATTATCCTCACATCTCAGTTTAATACTGAGGCATGAAATGGTAAGTCCCTTAACTGACCATTGTCACAGTCTGTAATGGAGGCAAGACTCAGTCCGACCCTCCCTCCAGGCCCCACCTCTTGCCCTCCCTGTCTTGACTGTCTTCCAGCTCTATGTGAAGATCCTGTATATTCAAATTCCTCTTTTCATCATTTTAGTCACATTCTTGTTTATATTGTGTGCATGTGTGTGGGCAGGTGTGCACCATGGTCTGTGTGTGGAGATCAGAGGACAACTTGTGGGAGTCAGTTTTTTCTTACCACCAGGTCAATCCTGGGGATTGAACGCAGGTTGTCAGGATTGGCGGCAAGCACCATTACCTGATGAGCCGTCTTACTGGCCCCTCAATCCTTTCTTAATGGCCCTTCCATTCTGAATATGACAAGCCGCCTCCTTTCAGCCTTCTCTTCACCAAGAAAAATCTCTCCATTCTTTCCATCTTATATAGATATAAATTACATATATATGTGTATATCACAAATACACAGGGGGTACTTTGCTCCAAGCTGGTGGTGGACAAAGCAGACCATTCCTACCCAGGGGGCTCCAGTCGAGGCCAGGGAAGACCGTAACCAACTCATCAGCAGAACCAAGTCCAGAATTGCCACTGTCACAGCTGGTGAGAGAAGCGCAGGGAACCTGTAGCTGGAGATTTGACCTGACACGGAAGGTTTTCTGGAGTGACATTTGAGCCAAGATATTGAGGAAAATGATAACCAGGTGCAGGGAGAGGCAAGGGGCTGTCTGTGCACAGGGCTGCGGAGAACAGAATGACAGAAGCTGCCAGTGGCTAGAAGTGGGGGGGGGGTCGCAGGCAGGGGAGGGGAAAGGCCACTGCAGCACAGCCTGGGAGGAGGTCTGGGTTGCTCCTCACACTTCCCGACGGCCCTGGTGGTTAATGCCTGAGCTTTGGCCGCCTCATCTCAGGTCCATTACCAGCACAGCTCCTGCAGCCAAATCTGCTGGTTAAAGTGGGGGGGGGGGCAGCTATTAAAGGAACACAGTGCTGCCTTGTGTCCACCTAATTAATGCACCTGTTAGCTTCTACCACCAGGACCCACCACACCTTATAAAGCCTTAGGACCATGCTCCATCCAGTTCATTCCACCCTACCCCACCCACCCAGCACAACCAAGTCAGTCAGTCGGCCACTTGACTCCCAGCAACACAGCGCAAACACACCTCCCTAGGGAGCCCACTGCTAGCTCCCTGGGCCTGGTCTTCCCTTATGTTTCATCCCCCAGTACCCCGGATGCTTTTGTGACAGTCTCTCATTCAGACGGCTGGCTGGCATTGTCTTCTCACCAGTGTGGAGGCTCCAC